AGGCCGGGGAGGGTTGGGGGGTGGGAGGGGTTGGTAAGAGATCAACCGAAGGACTTGTATGCATGCATATAAGCATAACCAATGGACACAAGACACTGGGGGGTAGGGGAGGCCGGGGGGAATTTCAAGAGGGAGGAAAAAAGGAGACATATGTAATACTCTTTGTAATACTTTAAGCAATAAAAATAAAAAAACTGTGGGAGCCACCGGCATCCACCTGGACTATGGCGGTGGGCCTCTCCTGTGCCCCACGGCTTCTCTACTCCCCCTTCACCAAAGTCAGTTTTCAATACAGTAGCCAGAGGGATCCTGTTAAAACACAAGACATAGATTGCTTGCTGCTCAAAACCTTCCAAAGGCTCCTCACCTCACGGGGGGCAAGCCAGTCTTCTCCATAACCTGCAAGGCCCTGCATGATCTGTTGCCCCCTGCCCCGCCCCCACTTGCCTCCCTAAGCTCATCTCCTTTTCTTTGACCCCTTGCTCCTTCCACTCCAGCAATGCTTGCCTCCTTGCTGTTCTTCAAACATGCCAAACACTTCCATCTTAAGGCCGTCACATTGGCTGTTCCCTCTGACTCAACTATTCTTTCCCCAGATACCTCCCTCACTCCTTTGTGTCCTTCATGTAAGTGGGTTTTGTAGCACATGACTCTCTATACTCAACATCACAAAACCCTGCTGTTATGTTTCTCCTCCCAAGCTTTTCTGGCTTTGCTCTCAAGAGAATGAGGGTAGCAGGGTGGGCCCACACGTCACCCAGTATCACGGCTCCTTTCTTCCCAATCTCTCAGTCCAATCTCTCCCAATCTTTTCCCCTGACCTACACACAGCCAACCTGCTCTGAAGCCTCTGTCTAGAAGCCTCCCATTTGCTTGGCCCGCCGCATTCAAAGGAACTGGCCTCTCAGAATCTACCCCCCTGAGAAGGTGCTGAGAAGTACAAATAAGAAAACCTTGTTTTTCCATTACACTGTATTGCCAGTAAAAATTTCACCTGGAAGTCATTCTCAACGATCGCATTAAGGCTTAGGGGTCTGGAACCAGACTATATGGAAGGTTAAAATCCTAACTCTACAAGTGACCTTGAGCAAGGTCCTCTCTGGACTTCACTAGCTTCCTTTGGAAAACAGTGGTCATAATAGACATATCTCTTGGAGTTGCTCTGATGATTAAATGAGATAACAGATGTGGTGAATATTCAGTCACTATCGCCTATCATTATTCTACCCACTGGGTCTTGGGCTGACCAGCCCTGAAGACATGTAAAGAGTATTGGCCTCCACGTTGCATCCTGGACCACTCCATTTGCTCCCTCAGGAGTGTAAGCCAGGGGCCAAATGTCAGGTGGGTCAGAAAAACAGCATGTGAACTAAGCCAAGCCAATCTATATATTTCATACCCCCGACTTCCACACCCATAGGCCTTGTGGAAGGCTCGGGTGCTTCCTCCAAGAGCATCTAAGAGTATGGTTGGCCAGAGGTCACTCGCAGGGCAGGGA